TGTGCATTTGGCTTGATACCTGTTGTTATAGTACGTTTTGAAAAAGAGCTGGAATAGTGTCTACTGGTTGAAGTTGTGTCTGCACCTTTTGAATGTAATCTTTACCAAGCAGTCATACCAGAAAACCGCAATATGGCGAGTCTGTGGCGTGTTCGAATGCCACGTCGTCACCGTCTTTATGTCGATGGACTGCGTGCTCCGTATTGAGGAGGTCCGTTAGGCCGTCTCGCTTTCTCGCGACCTCCGCGAATATTTAGCTCATTTTAAAGCCAAGCTCCTGCGGCCGGGATTCTTCTTCGAGAGTCATAAACTGTCTAACAGTGCAAAACAAGTCGAGGTTACCTTGAGCTCCCGCTCCAGTTGTGCTTGCGTGAGGCAATCCATGATCTTGAACCGGGTCTCCTGGACCTCCTTTTGGGGGCGTCTCGAGCTGGCCCGAAACAATAAGTGCACAACAAGATAATGAGGCCATGCTATTTCACAAACTGCTAAATGAACCGAGTTGAAAGCCACTCATTTGCATGCCAACAGCACCGCCCGTAGACCACAATGCTACGGTCCCCATAAACTCTGCTAATAACATACTTTCTTGCTGGGCTTCGGAGTGCAATCCGCAGCGGTGGATGAACTGGGGCCGGCCACATGCACCAACGATTTCCCAGACTTCGGATTAGGCGACTACAACAGAAAGAAAGCCTAATAGTAAAACACAAATAACATCTTGACTGCTGATGCTATTTTCAGGCAATTGTAACTCACCTCCCTGTCCCGAGACTTCTGACGGTGTGGACCGGCCCGGTAGTGGACTCAGATTCTCCCTGCTCTTGCGGGACGCCTGGGTGATTTCGTGCGTAGGGGCCGTTTTCGCCACCTTGGAAAGTCACACAATCAACCTTGCACTCTTAAAACCTTGCGCAGAATGTGTTCGCATTACAAACCATTTAGTTCGCAGCTTGCGAAGAGTTTGGCTTGATTGTATTACGAACTAATAGTTCGCAATTTTGCGAACAATGTGTTTGTAAGGGCTTCGCAATACAAACACGTTGTTCGCAAATTGCGAAGCACCTCTTCGCAAGTTGCGAACTACTGATTTGCAATACGGATGCGTTCTTCGCATTGCAAACAAGTGAGACACTCCGCAAGCTTGCAAACACATCGGTTCGCAAGGTTTTAAGAGTGATGCTTCTTTAGCCGGAATTTTGCCTAGATGGCATCAACTGAACCCCAGGAAGACACTATGAGCGTGGGCCAGATACAAGTTGACTTTCGTGTTCTCCCCCTATAAAATATGATAGAATTTACTGAAGATATGACGGAAATTGCGTTTGACGGAAATGACAAACAGTCGCCGACGACCATGTTTTGATTGGGCTGTATTGTTGTGGGCTGCTTGGTGGTTTTCTGAACCACAAGACGTCACCGTCTCTTCTTTACAGGCTCCCACCTCAAATTAACATGACAGTCACGATACAGTTCTCCTGTAACCCCGTGTAACCCCGTGTTACCCCCCCCCCCCAAGAAATTTTGTGGAAAATCTCAGCCGGATCGGACCAAAACTTCTGGTATCGAAAACTTATCAGCCTGAAGTTCCAGGAAATGTGCACGGCAGGCCGCGCTGCCCGCCGCGCCGCTCCACTGGCAGGCGGCGTCTCGGGTGTCGACGGGCCGCGCGGCTGGCAGTGCCGTGGCGGCCGGAAAGGCGTCGCGTTGCAGAGACGGCCGAGGGGCCGGGAGAAACGCCAGCGAAGCACTCTGCGTGTTTATCAGGCCGGCATTCCGCGCACCCCGCTGTGCGAGAGACAGGCGAGTCCTTGTTGCCGTGGGGCGGCCCTCCACCCGCACCGCAGCGCCTCACACTGGAAGGCAAGGACACTCGTTGGAATGCAAGGACTGGAATGCGGGGCGAGGGGCGCTCCGTGAGGGAGGCAGAGAAAGCACGGCCCGACATCGACCGGCAGTGCGCTGCACACGGACCTCGCCAGGACCACGGCGAAACCGCCTCCTGGAGTCCCAGGAAAGTCTGTCAATTTACAGGGAAATCTCCCGAGATTGTCAGGAATATCAGTAAACTCCCAGGAAATGGTTTGAACGCGGAGACTGATTCGAGAGTCGTTTGCGTCGCTGTCTCTCTTGCACTAAGTCACGTGGCTAAAAACGGACGGAAAATTCTGTTTGTTTCTTTGCCAAGGTTCTCGATAGCGCTCTTATAAATCTGTGTTTTCTGAGGGATCTTGCAGTATTCTCCGTAGGACCCTACAGTCTACGGACAACACTGCAAGGTCCTACGGAGAAGACTGTACGGTTCTACGGAGAATAGAGTACTTCGGAGGACAGCTAGAAAGGAAATGAAAATGAAATTAAGAAGAACGAAGTATGCAAAATGCGTGAGAAGCAGCGCCAGTTTGTCGCTCCGCAGAGCCGAGGGGGTAGCAACTCCCAAAAATCGCGGCCCGACTATTACGTTTTGAGACTATTACGCGTAATAGATGGGATATTACGTATATTACGCGGCTATTACGTTCTATTACGGACTATTGTGCTACGCGGTTATTACGCTTTGAAAAACAGCGCCAAATCTTTCACGTTGCTTCCGCTTCCTGCAACATACTCGTGTTATGAAAAATCCCGCTGTTCATTTGCATGCACAGTTTTTCTTTTCTTTTTTGGTAATCAAGTGAATTTTCAAAGTGGTCCAAATCAAGATCTTCTTTCAGAAATGGATTCGTCTCGTCAAGACAAACAAAAAATGTCAACACATCTCATAGGTTTGGACGGGAATGACAACGTTATTGAGCTTCAAAAGTACCAAGAAGGTCATTTCTTGACCATCTTTGCAAGTTTGTAGGTGAATAGCCTTTTTATGATCCATCCAAACCTATGACATACGTTGACATTTTTTTGTCTTGTCGAGACAAATCCATTTCTGTAAGATCTTGATTTGGACCAATTGGAAAATTCACTCAAACCGCTGAGAAATATTACAAGATTGGATTTCAAGGCGGCACTTGTAACGTCAAGTTGAAAAGATCTCGGGCTAAATCCATTTCCAAAGTTTTGGTAAATTTTCAAAATCGTCTAAACTGACTTTGATGTCATGAAATGACTGCCTCTTGACAAGTGTACTGTACAAATTAAGGTGATCGCCGTCCTTCCAGGCACAGTAAACGCTGTACCTCTAGGTACAGTAAACACCGTGCTTCTAAGTACGGCAAATCCTGTTAATAAATTAACGGAGAATACCCTACATTTTTCGTACAGTGTACCCCCTACACCCGACTCTGGGGGAATGCCGACAACCGTGCGTGGAGTATAGCCAACGCCATCAGGAGCTGTCCATACTCCCTGACAGGGGCATTTTTGACCTATTACGCGGCTATTACGATAATATTACGTGTATTACGTTATTATTACCGATATTACGCGACTATTTTGGTTATTACGCCGTCATTACGGATATTACGTTGTTATTACAGAGCAGGTGACCCGACTATTACGCGCGTTGCTACCCCCTCGCGCAGAGCTATATTTTCTTTCACGTTGGCCATTCCTTCTTCTTGATTTCTTCTTCACTTCCGTACCAGCTCTTCCGTTTTTGTTCTTCTGCGCCAGAGCTTCCTTGGAGTACTTTATCAGTCGGCTGGGCCCTGCTGGGGGGAAGGGAAAGGTTGGCCGTGGCCTTGTGTGTGCGGAATCGCCCTGCTGCAGACTGACTTCGAGTCATCTTCGTCGCTGTCTCTCGCACTCATGGGGCGTGCCGTTTGGTTGCGAGGGAGACGGAGCGGACGAAAGCGGTTCTCGGAATCAGTCTGCTGCTGGCGTAACACGACAGGTCGAGACCTGCTCGCTCACCCCGTCCCTCATGCCCTGCAGGTCCCGTCTCTCTCGCGTCCAGTCGGAACGCTCTGCGAGTGAGAGAGAGGCGCTTCCCGCTCGGAGTGAGTCTGCAAGTCGCAGCAAGCCAAGGAGGCGAGGGGAGGGGGACAGGCAGGGAGGGAGGCTGCGCGTCGCGGCGGGGGAGGGCAGCCAAGCCGCGACCGCCGCGCCCCGCCGCCCGCCGCCGCCAGTTGAGCTACACTGCGAGAAAAGATCACGGTAAATCCTGTACTGATTACTCCAGACTTCACCGTACTTTTTTAACAGGCAATTCCGTCGTTTTTTTTACAGGCAATACCGTACTTTTTAATACAGGAAACACCGTACTTTTTTAACAGGTAATCCCGTACTTTTTTACCCGGCAATCCCGTACTTTTAATACCTATCAAAAACTGCTATAATTTTGTTTAGTCGGTTGACCCTCTTTTTCCAAGTTCCTGATGTACGCAACTGCTGAAGTCGGACTCCTGGACCCCCCTTCCGACCACTCGTTGGAAAGGTCTTGACGAGACCTATCGAAAGGTGCAATAAAATTTTTCAGTCGGTCGACCCCCTTTTTTCAAGATCCTGATGTGGACAATTCTTGGAAGCGGCCCTTGTTGGGACCAGACCTGGCCCTTCCTACGGCATGGACTGTACGGATGAACGGCAACTACTGTTAAAAGACTACGGAATATTTTGTAAAACAAGTACGGTAAATACTGTAGACTGTACGGTGGATACTGGTTTTTGAAGTACGGTAAAGTTTGGCTAAAAAATTATCCAGGATTTACCGTCATTTTTTCTCAGAGTGTAGAGATGGGCATCGTATAGAAAAGTATCGATATCGCAAATATCGATATTCACACCTTACGATATATCAAATATCGATATATCGCGTAAAAATTATCGATACGACGATATATCGAATGAATATCGAATGAATTGGCGCGTAGTCGATTAAACGTTTAAAATAGAGCCAAAATTACGTGTTTGATCAGGTATTAAAGGTAATTTAGGGCATTACAAGTATCAAATTACTCTTTATTGACTATCATCATACGTATTTCTCTTTGACTAGGCAACTAAAGTTAAAGTTACGCTTTGGTCAGAATCACAAGATTAAAAACTCAATAATTTAAGTCACACTATTTCTTTAGTCTAGCTGCCTCCCAAAACTTAGTGGGGACGGTCTTTAAAAACAGTCTTTGGCGCAGGTGGGTGGAAGTGATGCGGTTGCCCTTGTCATCGGCGATGTCACCGGCAATCGAGAACCCGCGCTCCATCGACACGGACGTGGCGAGAGTTGTCAGCAGGCGGCGGGCGACGGGGTACATGCCCGGATACTGTATCTTCAGCTTTTCCCACACTTCCAATGGGTTCTTGTCCATGCTGACAATTTCTCGCCCCAAGTAGCCCCGCACCTCAGCCCGAGCTTGTGCTGGGATGTCGTTTCCTGTGCGCGTGCGGCCTTCCCTCGAGGAGGCGACGAGCTCAGCGTGCGAGCTCCAGAGACCGCCACCAGCGTTCCCGGCCACCGCGTCACTTTCTCCTAAAACAAAGCGGAGCATTGCAGTGACGGATGCGCAGCTGCGGTCTTCGTTCATGCATACATAGAGTATTGTGACTTACCAGCAGAGGTGTCATTGTCCGCAGCGGCGGTGTCGTCAGTGAGGTTTAGCAGCAGCTCCTGCTTCACCTGCTCCTCTATGTAGGCAACGGCGTCGGCTGCGGCCAAGGGGCTTTGAAAGTAATGCTTGATGAACCTAGGGTCCAAAATAGTTGCTGCAGCAACCATTTTGTTGGTCTCTATGCCCCCGAAGCGTCGCAAAAGTTCCCCGGAGAGGAAAGTCTTCAAACGCGACGCGATATCACCCTCAGCAGGAACCGCGTTCACAGCCTGAAAATACCAAAAAAAGGGTTAAAAATGAGGCATGATTGATATTTGTGCAGAGTATACAGTGGTTGTACCCTTACCTTCAGAAGGAGGTGGTACATCGGAATGCATTTACTCAATGTTGTAGTTTTCTCGGCACCCATCTCCTTTGTCGCCTCGTGGAATGGTTTGAGAAGGTCCAAGATTGACTGCAAGGTTTGCTGTTCTGCAGCATTGGGCATGTTCACAGCAGGAAATTTGGAGGCTGCCAAAACCACCACCGGCCGCAACTCCATCCACCTTTCTAGCATAAGATAGGTGGATCCCCAGCGCGTGGGGACATCCTGAAGGAGCCGCAGGGTTGTGCCCTCACTTTTTCCGAACTGCTCCATTTGGATTTTCTTAATTTCGTCGGAGAAATTGCTGCTGCAGTGGGACAATGTCACTACTTCCTTGACCTTCTTGAGCAGCTCGGCCACTCCTGGAACATGGGGCTGTTGGTTCTTGTCTTTCTCAAACAGGGCCACTTTCGGGACCAAGTTAAGGGTATGGTCGAAGCATGGTAGCACTTTACTGCTGCCGAAGGTCAGCTTGACAGCTAGTTTTATATTTTCGGCATTGTCCGTGATGCAGGCCGTCACACGCAGGGGATCGATGGCCCAGTCAGTGCAGCATTCCAACATCTTGTCCCCCAAGTAGACCCCAGTGTGCCTTTCCATCAGTCTAATAAGTCCTATGACTAGGCTCTCCATCTGTACTCCCTCGCCGTAGTGCACGGTCACTCCCAAGTACCCCGACGTGCTGTGCGACTCCGTCCAGTTGTCCGCCGTCAGGCAAAGGCTGGGCGCTTCACGCAGTTTCTCCCGCACAACACCTGCCAGAATCTCGTACTTGGACTCCATCAGGCGAGTAGTGGTCCGACGCGATGGAGGCGTCCATAGGGGCACTGCTCTGCTCTCTGCTGGCAAAATAGCGAAATCCCTCACCATCGGGGAGGGACAACGGCAGGTTTTGCCGCATCATCATGAATAAGAGTGAGCTAATTTATTTAATACGTGCAACGCCTTCCCATGACCCCCTCCGATTTTGACCAAATTTTTTTTCTGAGATGCCCTTATGGTAAGAAAAAACATCCTAAAATATTAGGTCGCTAAAAAATTTATTGGCCGAGAAAACCAATGTTTTCTAAATTTGCCACTTTTTTTACTTAATTTGGGAGTTTCTTTACTACTCTGAGGTTTTTGGTGCTAAGTGGCTGAAAATTGGTATCCTTATGTAAAATTGCCCAAGGAACAAGAATATGGTCACAGATTTGACCTACGACCGATATCTTGAGAAATACTTACCCAAAACGACCAAATTTTACTGAAAATACCCAAATTTTGGGGAAACGGTAAAAAATATTTTTTATCCACGATCCGTTGACGCCATCCTGTAGAAAAAGAGCTAATAAAGCCAATGAGCACACGCCCAGGTTTGTAGCTCAAACCGTTTAGAAGCTGTAAGGCGTCAAAGATGGAGGTTTTTTTAGAGGGCCTAAAAACCGGCACTTTTGACCTCTGCGCTCAATGTCCGGCACCCGAGCCGTACCAGCCATGATCGTTTTCGTATAGTTGGTTTCGAGGTGAGGTCTGCGTGCGCAATGGGAGTCAAGAAGAGGGTGAAGCGGCACAGCGTTTCTGAACAGCGTCCTCTTTAGAGCGCCTGAACAGCCGAGTTCACCAAACGGCGCTTGGAAAGCACTCGTCGCACCGTGGGCGTGGGCTCGCTCAAGGCCACGAACAATGCCATTCAGTGTAAGTCTAAAACTGTGGCCCTCGACAAGCTTCGGATTCTGTTGGCTGCCCCCTTCCTTCTCTCTCTTTCCCACATGGTCCAAAGCCGTGGCCCACGACCCCTCAACCTGCCCCCAATACCGGATATATTGTGTGTTGTTTCAGATGAATTTCAAGCTTTTTGTCGGAAGCTGTCGCCCTTTGGTAAGCTTAGGAAGTTCTTCGGAATCTGTCGGCGTTTACCCCGGCGGTTTTCACACTTTCCTAACCCTGAAGGATCGAGGGCGAGGGGTTGTAATGTTGGGAAAGGCTGGGAAACAGGAAGGGGCAAGGGGCGACGACTTGCAATTCTCTTCCGAACCTTCCTGAGGGCGATAGCTTGAGACCATAACCGAACAAAAGCTTGAAATTCGTCTGAAACAACACACAAGTTATCCAGTGTTGGGGTGAAGGTTGAGGGGTCGAGGGCGGTGGTTTGGCAACGTGGGAAAGGAAGAAGAAGAAGAGAGAGGAGGGGGGTGGAGATTGCGGCCGACGGTTGGTTTGCAAGTTTGCAAGTGTGAAAACCGCCTGGGAAAACGCCGACAGATTCCGAAGAACTTCCCAAGCTTACCAAAGGGCGACAGCTTCCGACAAAAAGCTTGAAATTCATCTGAAACAACACATAATATATCCGGTATAGGGTACTTCCGTAGATCCCTGAACCGGAAGCTCACAGACGCCATGTTGGCGGAAGTAGATCCAAACTTGACATGGGAAAGAGACGTTCGTCAAAGGTATCGGCCACACTTGAACATAAACAGTCGTTTGATACTTGTTTGCAGTGCATATGTGTTTCGCGAGCAATATTTGTACAGCTCGGCCATAGTTTTGGATCCGAAGAGAGGTTAGTTTCCGGCCAATTTGGCGTCTGCTTGGCGTCTGCTTCCGGTTCAGGATTCTACGAAAGTACCCTATTGGGGGCAGGTTGAGGGGTCGCGGGCCACGGCTTTGGACCATGTGGGAAAGAGAGAGAAGGAAGGGGCAGCCAATAGAATCCGAAGCTTGTCGAGGGCGACAGTTTTAGACTTAAGGGAGTATGGGGCGATTTGTAACAGATTTCGGAATTCTCTATACAAAATTAAGAACATTCTGCATATCGGTGTCATACTTGTGCCAGTTGAGCAGTCTGGCCCTTCATCTAGACTGTGCAGCTCCATTGGATCAATCTGGAGTCCGTAATCTTTGAAATCTAAAACGTTTCCCAAACCCTTGCATGCTGTTACGAATCGCCCCAGCATGGGGTTATTTGTAACAGCCATGAGGCTTTTCATAACATCCTACACATTAAATGAAACATCGTCGGGAATGTTATCTCATCCACCAGTCGTTCTTCGGGTGTCCTGCAGACGTCTAAAAATCTACATTACAAGCTGCCGTTGACCGCCTTAGCATTAACTGATAGGCTATGTCAATCCTAACCTCCCTTTTTTCAATTTTAGAGGAAAGCATAGAATAACTCGCTTTAAAATGCATTTCGAGCTGTGTAAATGTATTGGAATAAAACAGCAGATGATTCGAGAAATAATTCAAGCATTTAACAGGTAAAACTTCCTAAATTCTTGTTTTTATACGGGTCTGTTACGAATCACCCCAAATGCCTGTTACGCAAGAAATACGTCCCTAACTATCACTGGACAAAGTAAAAGCAACTTGTGCCACGTGTTTACATTGTAAAGGGGTCACGCTTCAAGGCCCCAACGGTACTTCGATGGTGATTCATACCTGGGGAGCCCAGACAGAAACTTCCTAGAACTCAAAATAAAAGATTTGCCTGCTTCCCGAAATTTCGGTGTACTCTATATTTCAGACCCCTCCAAAACTAAACCTGAGCACCGATCACATCCGCTTCGATTGTTCAAGCGAAAGAGGGGCCATACTCAGATTTTCCTCTGCTCCCTCCACTTAAATTAATAAACGCATTTGTTACGAATCGCCCCTGTTACAAATCGCCCCATTCTCCCCTACACCGAATGGCATTGTTCGTGGCCTTGAGCGAGCCCACGCCCACGGTGCGACGAGTGCTTTCCAAGCGCCGTTTGGTGAACTCGGCTGTTCAGGCGCTCTAAAGAGGACGCTGTTCAGAAACGCTGTGCCGCTTCACCCTCTTCTTGACTCCCATTGCGCACGCAGACCTCACCTCGAAACCAACTATACGAAAACGATCATGGCTGGTACGGCTCGGGTGCCGGACATTGAGCGCAGAGGTCAAAAGTGCCGGTTTTTAGGCCCCCTAAAAAAACCTCCATCTTTGACGCCTTACAGCTTCTAAACGGTTTGAGCTACAAACCTGGGCGTGTGCTCATTGGCTTTATTAGCTCTTTTTCTACAGGATGGCGTCAACGGATCGTGGATAAAAAATATTTTTGACCGTTTCCCCAAAATTTGGGTATTTTCAGTAAAATTTGGTCGTTTTGGGTAAGTATTTCTCAAGATATCGGTCGTAGGTCAAATCTGTGACCATATTCTTGTTCCTTGGGCAATTTTACATAAGGATACCAATTTTCAGCCACTTAGCACCAAAAACCTCAGAGTAGTAAAGAAACTCCCAAATTAAGTAAAAAAAGTGGCAAATTTAGAAAACATTGGTTTTCTCGGCCAATAAATTTTTTAGCGACCTAATATTTTAGGATGTTTTTTCTTACCATAAGGGCATCTCAGAAAAAAAAATTTGGTCAAAATCGGAGGGGGTCATGGGAAGGCGTTGCACGTATTAAATAAATTAGCTCAGTGCCTCTCGGAGCTCTGCGTCCTTCTCTCCTCCAGCTGTAAAATGGGTCAAGGATGTGATCCCTGGCGCTACGGGGGACGCCCGAAACTTAATTTTAGATTTTAAAATTTTGCGCCTACCTTTAAACGACGTGGACCGATGCAGACTGGCTTCAATAGTCATCTGAGACTTTCCAGGGGGATCTGACTTCCTCCGCTTGGCTGCTGGTGCTGCACTTGACGCCGTACCAGTGGTGCTCGTGCTCCCAGTGGCGGTAGAGGCTTCGTCCTAGTCCCACAGAAAAAAATCCGATTATTCCTGCCCTTTCCCGAGAAAACACCGGGCCAGACAGACGACGCAGGAGCTGGGCGACCTGCAGGCTTATTCCGTCCATTGCTTTCGTCGTTCTGTCTCTCTCGCACCCTTACCGAACGCCCCATGAGAGACAGACAGCGACGAGAGCAGTACTGAGAATGAGCCGGCTGGGCCGTTCCTGGAACGCGACTTGACGCCGGCAGCGAGCCGCAAAGACGCCCCGCGCCGCCCGCCCCCGCGATACACCAACGTAAGCTTCTGATAACTAACCTGTATGTCGATTTCATCAGGATTTTCCGTGTCCACATTCTCGGAAGAACCCTCCGCCACGCGGATTCGATTGTGCACAATCTTGGCTAAGCTAGCTGGGTCACCGGCGTTGTCCTTAGTAATGCCATGCTTATTGATATGAGTCCAGGAATTCGAAGTATTGTTGCTCGTCGTAAACTCCACGCCGCACACTTTGCACCATGCTTTGTTCGCACCATTTTTAACCGTGTATTTCCACACCACACTTGATTTACTACTTTTAGGCGGCATTGCATCTAATTCTTCGCTTTCGCTAGCGGGCAGGTCGCGACAAGTGCGGCTGCGGCGGCCAGCAGGGAGAGGAGGGGGTGGCAACAGTGCCGGCCGCCTCGGCTCGTCGGCACTCGGCTTCGCTCGGCTCGGCAGTCGAGTCGGTCGGGCAGTCGTCGGGTCGGTGCGGCCACGAGTGGTCGCATCGAAGCCTTCTTTAGTGCCTTTTATTTCATCGTCCCGAACCGTCCAGTAGAATATTTTACCAACGCAATTTTCATTCGATATTCATTCGATATCGGGCTATTTGTATCGATAATCAAAAATATCGGATGCTGAGATTTCGATACGATATATCGATATATCGCATAAAAAATATCGATATACCGATATATCGATACCATATCGCCCATCTCTAAGTTGAGCCCCAGCCGTCTGCCGGTGCAGGCGCGTCGTGCGTCCCGCTGCCACGATTAGTTATCTTATACTATCAAGGATGTTTAGGGATAATAACTTCTCTATCATGACTTCTAATTAAAATTGT